GTAGTGGTAACATATTATAGTTATATAATAGTGTATATGTGTATAATGAGTGTAGTTATATATTATATAAGTATTATATATTTATATGTTACTATATATTTTACTATACGATATATTTTGCACACGACCTTTCACGCCGGGGAAGTATGTGTGTGTGACCTCTCTCTTCTTTCTTTCTCTCGCTTTTAGTTCACACATACATTAGTTGATTATCTTATATACTACACATGGTTATGTGTGTGGACTGTGTGTGTGTGGGGGGGGGTGTAGTGTATATTGTGTGCGATGGTGCGTGTGTGCTTTGTGTGTGCGTGTTGCGTGGTGCGTGTGCGTGGCGCGTGTGCGTGTGCGTGTGCGTGTGCTTGCCCGCGTGTGTGACTATTACGTTGCGTGTGCGTGTGCGTGTGTGCTTGTGTGTGTGTGTGTGTTGGTGGTGTTGTGTGTGTGTGGTGTACTGGCTAGTATAATTATGTATTATAATTAGTAGGTAGAAGATTATATTGCTACCTTTCGCTAATTATTATTATGTTGATGAATACGATTTTATTTGAATTATTATATTTTATAAATGTATTTGAATATTATATATAACTACTGTTATAAGAAATTACTCTAGTATAAGTATTATGGTATATATATATATTTAATTGGTATATATTATATATAATATATATATAATATATGTTATATATTATATATATACTGTATTACATAATTACACGACCACACACACACACACACACACACAACACACACACACACAACACACACACACACACGCAGTTTTACACTGCACAACAATAAACAACACAACACGCAAACAACACACGCCACACGCCACACACACACATACACACACCACACACCACACAACACACACCAACACACACACACACACACACACCCACACAACACACACCCACACAACACGCGTATGCACACAACACACCTCACACACAACACTCACCGCACGCGATCACACGGCAACACACACACAACGCTATGCACACACCACTTACACACGACAACAACATTACTACGCACAAACTGCACGGTCGACCATACACACTATAAACACGCGACACACACACAACCAACACAACCACCACACACACAACCACACACACCACACACACAACACACACACGCAGCCGCACGCAAC